TTTCTCCCGTGGAACAGCTGGTAGTTTTGAACTGCTGACCTTGAGGTTCATAGCCCTATTCGTAACCACTACGCTACCAGAACTTCTTAAGGAATGAGCTAGAAGCTAGGAAAAATCCAACAACAACCAATAAACTTACACAGAAAAAAAAATCGTCAATTATAAGATAGGCACTGGACCATAAGGTCAGTTTGAACCACAAGGTTGGCAACTTAAACTCACCAGTCACTCCTTAGAAACCCTACACAGGGATGCTAAGAGTCATAACTAACTCGATGGCACTTAACAACATACAGGGTGAGGGAAAGAGGATGGAAGAAGGGACAGTGAGCATTTTCTGAAGATGCTTTTAAAAACATTTGACATTTGAATTATGTATATGTATTGGACTCCTGGTGTTGTACTGTAGGATCAGCACTGGGCTGTGAACCAAATGTTAGTAGTTCAAACCCACCAGCTGCTCCTCAGAAACCCTATACAGGGTCACTATGAGTCAGAACTGACTTTATAGTACTTAATAACAACAACAACATATGTATTATTTGTTTCAAAATAATTAAAATAAACAACAGAAAACAAAGTTGACTCAAACATCAGTACAGAAAATAAGTTAGCTAATTTCTCTGTCATTTGAGAGAATTCGATTGGTTTTAATACTGCAGTATTGAAAAAAAGTAAAAAAGTTTGCAGTGTACAGAGAAAGCCAGTCTCTTCTATGACTCTGACGATCACCTTCCTGTAGAAGCACTGGGTAATACCATCTACCTCATGGCAGATTGTAAAACTGGGGATTATATAATGAGGGACTTAAAAAAGTTCACGGAAAAGTTCCAGTATCTTTCAATTCAATTTTTCCACAAACTTTTTGAAGTCTTTTCCTACATGATAAATGTAAAGTTCCCAGTGTGGTTTCACACACACAATAGGCTTCAGTTAGTGACTGCTTTGGTTATAATGAAGAGAAGGTCTACATAGAATATCTGACATGGGCAGGATTTTATTGGTCAGATAGTACCAAGTTGTTAATGTTGTTAAGTGCTGTCAAATTGGTTCAAACTCATAGAGACTCTGTATAGGGTTTCTCAGGAGCTGGTGAGTTTGAACTGATGACCTTGCAGTTCAAACCAACCTTATGGTACAGTGATTATTCTACAGTGCCTTACCAGGACTCCAGATATGCTCATGTTTTTATATGGGGAAACTGAGGTCCAGAAATGGACACGTAAGAAATATGTGTTCAGTATAATAGTTCCAAATATTAAAACCATATTAGGGTTCTGTGGCAAGATGGTAGACTAGACAGATACACTACAAAGACATTCTACAATAAAGATACAAGAGACCAAATGAAACAGGCACAGATGAAAATCCTGGAACCCTGAACTTCAGAGGAAAGGTTAGAGAAGTGAATTGAATGCTTGCTGAGCCAGGATGGTGAGAGAGGGAAACTGTTTAATGAATGGTCAGCCAGATGCAGTGCAAACATCTTAAACTTCTGTGAAGAGCTCTGGCAATAGAAGGTGGCCTGGCAGAGCAGATTGACACAGGCAAAACGAAAGGTGTGATTCCTTCTTTTTCCCCATGATCCGCTGGTGACCAGTGGGGTGGCCAGCTCTTAGCCTCATTAATCCCCAGTACAGATGGAAGTTTGGATCCACATAGTTGTGAGCCACATCAGTGTGCCCTGGGGACTGGCTGTGCTGCTTTGGCTTCAGACCCACAGAACCATTAGACTCACATTAGTCTAGGAAACCCTCATAACTAATCACCCTGCCCCCAGCTGCCCTGTGGTCCTAACAGACACTGAAAACAGCTCTATCAAGGGTCTCCACCAACTACTTCCGGACTGAATGCCCTAAACACAGATAACTCCTAGGCCCACAGGAACTCCATCTAGAACCCTGTTGTCACATTCCTCCCATATACACCTTGTGAGCTCTTTGGATGGCAGGAGCTCTCAGAGTTCTCTTTTCTATAGATCCAACAGCTGCACTGTTTTTTCTGTTTGTTTTCCTTTTGTTGTTTCATTATTTTTGTTTATTTTTTCTTCTTCTCTATTTCCTAGAATTTTATCATTTCTATCTCCACTTTTTTCTTTTCTTCTGTTTCTCATTTCCTCTCTTCTTCTTTATTCCCCCTCTGATCTTTCTTTACTACTCTCTATACTCTTCCTCTTTTCATCCTTCCTCTCCCTAGTTTTTCTAAGTGTTTTAAAATTTTGTATCTTCCTTTCATTCTTCTTGTCTGTAGCTCCGTTTCCTGTCCCTCTTTACTCTTATTTATTATATTATTTTTCTCCTTTATTATTTTCTCTTTTCATTATTGGTTGCTTGTTTGTTTATTCTGTTTTGTTTTCTTGGGTGTGTTTGGGTGGATAGATGGGTGGTTTC